TTTTTTTGTTTTGTAAATGACTTGGTCTTTGCTTAGAGACTGAAAATAAATTTTTTAAAATGTGAATATCTAATCATTTTACTGGGATATGTGTAAAGCTGACCATTTTTCTCATTTAGGACCCTCTGAATATGAAGTTTAAGTTTGTTCAGGAATTTTTTTCTGTACTATAAAGTAAACTGTTAATCCAATTTTATTGCTTTGTTTTCTTATTTAAGAGCTTCAAATTACAAGTAAGTTGGATCTTCTTTGCCTATATGTCACTTTTGATATTTTTTATTTTATTTTTTATGCTTTTTAGACAGGGTCTCACTATGTATCTTAAGCTGTTTTTTTTTGTTTGTTTGTTTGTTTGTTTCTTTTGGTACTGGGGATTGAACTCGGGTCCTTGTGCTTGCAAGGCAGGCCACTGAACCACTGAGCTAAATCCCCGGCCCTTAAACTGGTTTTGAACTAGCTATGTAGCCCAGCCTGGCCTTGAACTCACTGTGATCCTCCCTGGGATTACAGGCATGTGCCACTATACCTATCCTGATCTTTTTTAAACACTTCATTTTTATTCTTTTGATTCTTTTCATTCTTATCCACTATATCCTTTAGTTTATTTTCTCTTCTTTCACTGAGCAACTTATATTTTAATTGTTCATTTCAGAAATGATTTTTCCCCAGTTTCTTTTATCTTTTATCTTGTTGCATAACTGCCTATTGTTTTTCCTTCACTAGTATGACATTTTAAATTTCAAATTTCTGATATCATATTTGCATCCCTGGCTTGATACTTGCAATAAGTTGTTTAACTGTACTTAATCCATTTTAGAGCATTGTGTTAGTTTTGTAACTTTATATTTCTTCAAGGTTGAATTGGTAGAGAGTTTTTAATCACTTGACGAGGTTCGATCTACTTTTATTTATTATGGCTTTCTGTGGGTATTGAGGTCTTTTTTTAAAATCCCAAATGAAGAACGTAGAATTTTCCTGGGCCATGTGTAGTAGTCAAGGTTGGCCATTGTTAAAAGGGATTACTTGGTTTCTTAGTTTAATAATGCTTACTGTTTTTAGAACAGTGAAGATGATGCCTTTTGAAATGTTGTTTGTTTGATTTTCTGATACTTTGGCATTATTTTCTTTCTTGGAGTTTTTAACTTCAACTACTTTCTTCCCTTTTCCCCATGATGAGGCTCCAAAGGACCCTATCTCTATGTATTTTTTCTGGAAGAGTTAACAACTCTTGAACCAGAATACTTTTGGGGTCCTTCCTTTTACCTCCCAAGGAACTAATGCCCTAATATCTGCCAGGACTTAATGCCCAGCTACTTTTGTGGAAGTGGAGTGGACTATCAACTCATAAGAGTGGATACCTCTTACTTGGATAAGGTCTCCTGGCTTTGATGTTTTCAGATGTTAGTTTTCTCTTTCATATGCCCGGTAATGCTTGCAGTAATGTCTCTTTCATAGTTATGCTATTGGTGAAAGCTATACGTGATTTTTTTACTCATAAAATAATCCTTGCATTTATATAACTTGAATGACAAAATACATATAAAACATTAATCCATTCTGTAGCTTTGTGAGATAATACTTCCCTCATTTTACAGATAAAGTTGTTAAGGCTACAAGGTTAACAGCAACTCACTAACATAACTAGTTAATGATGAGCAAAATTCAATCCTAAGATTTAAGAATCCAAATCTACTATGTGCTCCATCAAAGTGATCATATTGCTATTTCATTTGTTCGAACAGTCTCTGAATGTTGAGTACCTTAGAAAGTACTAAGTTGTGTATTAGACACTTGCTATTACAGCAATGAACAAAACAGACCAACAAAACAAAAACCCTGCACTTACAGAATTTATATTTTTAGGAGTATTATCTATCAATCTCTTCTTCACTTAAAAATGAGATTTTTTGGCATTGAAAAAATAATATTAATTAGAGTAATTTATAGGGCTTAATTATGTGTATCATTCAACATAATTGTGACTTTTAATAGTGCCAAAATAGCTTCAAGCTTTATGTGATTACTATATACCCTTTTCCTAGTTTATTGCTTATATACTATAAATTTAAAAAAGAAAAGGTATATTGGAAATGAAAAAATGTATAGTTTTCATAGTTGTATTATGAAGCATGTATTTAAAAACATTACTGATTTTTTAACAAAGCTCTATTTGGTTTGATGTCTGTTGAAAGAAACATCACATTTGGGATAGTATTTAAGCTATTTATGAAGATATTTTATACCATATAGTTTTAGGATAGTGTGAAATTCCACACTAAGGATTTCTGAGTAGTTTAGTTTTCACTTATTTGCATAAAAAGTGAAGGATTTTTTTATCTGCTTTCAACAGATTATTGTTTCTTATTCTTTTAGTATTTCATTAAGAAATGTAAAATACTTTCATCATTGTGCTGTTTCTCATTATAACTTGTTAATTTTCGCAAAAAAATGCTATTTCAAATTCCCGTATAGAACAATATAAAATAGGATAATTTCTATTTACTCAGTTGATTTTAATACAGAATTTTGAGTAATAAAGTAGCTGATTTGCACCCTCTGTTGGTCATTTTCTTTACCTGCAGACAGAAATACAGTGTAATAAAATGGAAAACTTATCTTTTATGTTTATCTTTTAATTGACATTTGCAGATCTTGCCAAAATAATACTCTGAACTGGGTTTGTGTAAATAAGGTGGATTGTTATTTAGCTGTGCATTGTTTCAGTAATTTTATGGTTATTTCCTTTTTCCTCAGGCTGTCTCTCTAATTGTAGCATTCAGAATTGGCATTAACAGTGTAAATTTTCAAATAAGTATTTATTTAACTGTAGCACATTATTAAACAGATAATGTTTAACAATTTCATTGTCAATTTGGATTAATTAGAAAAACATCACATTTTACTACTCTAAATAACAATTTGGAGAGTTACTTGAATTGAAAATAATTCAAGCTTCAGAAAACTGAGGCTGAGTTCTTCTCTGACTTTCCTTAAGGTAGAATAATTCTGTAAGATTATATGCTTAATTAGATTTATAGTATAGTTTGATAATATTTGCATATAGTAAATTTCCTGACTCGTAGTAGAAATATCTATACAAATTTATAATTGCAGTTAAGAAAGCTATACTTGTCCAGGTAGATGAATAGTTTGGAGGAAGAAAATCTTTGCTTTTGAAGGATTGATAAATAGCAAGTTTGCCTTTGGTAGTTCTGGTATTTCTAAATTTCACTTACCAGCCAAAGCATCAAATTTAATAATATATAATTCACTCAATTTTAGCATAATCTATACCTATTCCATAAACTATGTATGATATCAGAGCTTCCTTGCATTTTTTAATCTAAATAAATATTTTAAAAGCTTATAATATGCATTTTCATATTTTTAAAGATATTATTTGCAAACACCAGTAACCAACAGTATTTGTGTAGAATTTCATGTACCAGTTTGAATAAATTGAAATTTGTGTTTCATTTCTAGTGTTCTTTTTTTTACTGTATTATTTAACTAAAACATGTATTAGACTATTCATTTGACCTTTCTACTTTGTGGCAAAGCAATGAAAAAGATGTTCTTCAACATGGCAAATTAAACTTTAATGTTGAATTTGATTCTTAAATTTGTAATTCAATGAAATATTATTTTGAAATATAATCAGCGAATACTTACATTTTTCAGAGAGTGAATTCCCTAAATACCACATGTAAACATAAGTAATTAAGTAGCATTCTGAAGCTATATGACTTTAAATCTGTAGTATATTAGTTGTACCTGATGTGTGATTCTATAAATACCATGTAAATGTCCCACATAAACTTATCTACTTGATATATCAGTAAATTATTTTAGCTCATATGGAATATACTTCACCTATAGTACTATGTCTTTAATCCAGTGAAAAAGCAAGGTTATATATTTTATTTTCAAATTTAGTTACATGCATGAAAATAAGTAGCTCTTAATCTGCTTACTGAAAGCAATGAGTTAGTGTCATCTTATTCAGAAAATTAGTTAACTTCCCACTTCAGACTCCCACTCAATCTTTCTCCAGAAACTTGTAGAATCAAATAGTATTCAAATGGAAAGTTTCCATCTTATCACATGTTTGAAATACCTAATTAAATTAGCTGGCAGTTAATTAGCTAACTAAATTGAATAGGGACAAAGAAACACAAAGATACTCATAGAAATATTGCCTTAGAAACAGAATGCTAATCTCTACGTGCAAGTTATTAGGAAATGGGGTATTGGGTAAATATTTAAGGAAGGGAAATTATTTTGATCTAGTAGGAAACATTGACTTTGAAAGCTGTGGGGGGTTGTAATGATGGTATATTCCACAGAATTCTATATTCTGGAGAAAGGTCTTGTGTCTCCAGACTTTCCTTTGAAATTTTTTCTATTGTCATGCATGATATTTTCCTTTCCACATTTGTGTTCTCTCTATGGAGCTTCTCAGTTTCTTTCCCACTTCAGTTAATTTGTTCTTTGCCTTAGTAAATACTTAGTTTTTTGGAATTTGGGAAAAATGAAATATGATATCAACTGCCTATGTTGTATCAATTTTTATATTTTTGATATTCTCTAAGGATAAGTAAGGTATTCTTGAACAGCACATTGCATGTTGGGAAGTACAATAACTTTGAGGGCTCTTTAGTAAACTAGAAATTTAACTTGTAAAATAGTGATTCAAGTTATTACACTTTCAAGAATTTGGACAAATATTGTACATCTTGCTTATAAATGCAGCAAAAGTTTTTCATTGTAAAGAAGCCAGCAGGGAATACAAAATTTATAAGAAAAAAAAATCAAGTGAATGGCTCTATATATTTCTTTTTAATCTAGCTAGCTATTGACATCTTAAAATTTTGAGTCAAATATTTACATTAACTGGAATTCCCTCATAGGTATAGTTTTAATTTGTAAGCATTTATGAAAGACAGTATAATTGCTTATTAGAATAGATCTGTTTTATTTATAAGTTTTTCTTTTGACAGTGATATGAATTTTGAAAATATAGAACGAACAGCCTGTAAAGCAAAGATTGCCATATCAGGTATGTTGTATGTGGATCATATTATATTGCTGAATAAACTCTGAAAAGTAACTAGACTTGGTAAGTTTTGTTTTATTCTCTACTTCTAGACTTTTCATTTTTTCATAACTACCAAAATATTCAAATGGTCTGTTTTGATCATTAATGCTCTACATTGTGTAGATCTTTGCAGTTTGAAAAAAAATGGTTACATATGTTAGGTGATTTTCTCTTCAGTGCAGCCTTGTAAAATGAATAAGATAATTATTCTCAGTTTTTACAGACATAAAGATTAAGTGACTTGCTTGAAGTGGCTGAGCTGTGCTGCAAATCCAAGTCAGTTGACTCTCCATTCCTTTTCTGTTCCACAGGAGTTGAAACCATGTCTGTCTGGTTCATCACTTTAAACCCAGAGTTTACCACAGCACTTGGCACATAGAGCACTGCTCTTTGTCACCTGTAGGGAAAAGACCACACTTTTTTTTCCTAGTTTTCCCTTTTGACCCAATTCTTTTTCTAACCATTTTCTTCCATTTTGCCTATATATAAGCTATTTAGTCAGACATTTTTTCCTTCTCCTGTCAACATACCCTAGACTTCAGATGCTTAATTGGCTTATGAAATAAATATTTTCTTCAGATCTGTTTGCTTATCTATAAAATGACCTGTTATCATTCTAGCTAGAAAGATTTCCTTTCTCTGAAATACTATTACAGCTGGAGACCTTCTACCACTAGATGGCACTTATGCTGTGTAGTCTCAGTTTCTTGAAAGTGTTAAGGAAGCCAAAGACAATGGCCTGGAGATCCCACAGTTGAAATGAACTCAGAGCTGACTTGAGGGTATGCTGTAGTGATGCACCTTCACAAATATCATCCCTTCAGAACATTTTGGAAACAACCATTTGTACCTCCATCAGTCCTTACATAATAACTTTTTTTCCTCTGGCCAAAAGCTATGTCTTAGCCCACTGCTACAGTTCAAGCCCTGTCACTCAAGGAACTGTCTTCCATTTCTAGCTTCCCAACTCATGTCGTAGCTAACAAAAATTATACAGGAAGGTAGACCTGCATTTTATTTAGCACATTATTGGCTAACATCAGAAACTGCCCTGAGCTAAACAAAAAATTCTTCAGAAAAATAAGTGAACTATATAAGTATCTGTTGCTTGTTTTATAGTTATTATATTCATGTTTTCATCTTTCCATTTATAAGACTGACATAAACGTATTTTATATTTCCTTGTATCCTTTGCCCAACATGGTAGTTCTTCACTATGCTTAATACCTATTAACATTAATAAATAAAATATTATACATTTTTAAAAGGGATTTCCTACAAATACTTAAACATAATCCTTTTTCTTCAAATATGGCACCACTTGAGATATATGAGCTATATTAAATTGTTAATGAAGACTCCAAATTCTCGAGTTTCAACATCTATTGTGATTTCATAGTAGTTTATTTACTACTGCAGTTCATGCTATTAGAATTAACTGTATGTTTAGAAGGGACTTAAAAAGCATTTAAAGTAAAAGAAAAAATATTTTTCATGAACACAAATACATAATATATAAAATTGAACTTATTTCTGCATATGTTTCTTTTCAGAAGATAATTTTAAATTAAACTAAGGAACTGAAACTCTCAGAAGATGGAGTACATATGTAATTTCCTTTCATTTTTGTCTGAGCTTAATTATATCTTGTCTGTGTATTTATAAAAACAAAAATAAAAAATTCACCTTAATAAATGCATTTTCATTTGACAGTAGGATGAATATGTGACTTTTATTTTGGCCAAAAGGAATATTTGCAGCAAAATTTCCTAATGTTTTTGAGATTATGTCAATAGCCTCGAGAGACTTGATATTTGCATTTCTGGCTTTCCTTGGTGACCAGATCTTTATACAAAGAATAACTGGTTCATCTTTTTTCTTTCTGCCAAATAACAAATAATAACATTGTGATAATTTTCTCAGGATTCTCATTGATCACTGATTCAATGACTAAATCAAATCACCTCACCACATATATCATTCAGTTTGTTTTTTTTTTTCTCTTTTTTCACTACTGGGGATGAACCTTGCACATGCTAGGCAATCCCTCTACCACTGCACTGCCTTTCAGCCCTCAGTTTTCACCTTTGGACATGATAGATTTGTAAGAACTAATAAAATCAATTTAACCATCTTATTATAGCTCCCTCAGTTTACCATTACATATCAGTGGAAACATAAAAAAAGATAGATAAGAGTACTGTAAACTAAATCTGAGTCCACCATTTACAAGTCCAGAAGGAATTTCTATCATTTAAAGCTGAATTAAGAAAAACAGTTGAGAAATCGTGACTTAACTTTGCTGTCTGAACAGTACCTGATCTCTTGGGGAATAGAGAAGAAACATCCATCATCTTTTGGGGAGCTGATCATAGGTAGGCATGGGAAAGGGCAAGACTGACCCTGGCTGTGGGCACACAGGAGAGGAAGTCAGGGTCTGTGTTTCTCCCTTGACAGTATAAATAGCTAATGCCACCCCAGTAGGGCCAGAACAGCTGTGAACAAGGACAGTTGTGAAATGAAATGAGTCAGCAACTGTGGTCAGGCAAGAAGGGGCTTTTTGACAGGACATCAGCCAAGTCCTAATTATAAAACAATAAAGGCATTCCCCTTAAAATCAAGAATTAAAATAACACTGTATTATTTCATTACAATATAACTCTGTTTTAGAAATTCTCGCAAAAACAATGAGTAAAGGATGAAACTAGTGAAAAGTAATACAAAAATGAATACTCTTTAAAGATAATGGATTACAGACCTATGAAACCAAAGGGAATTTACTGAAACACTATTTGAATTAATAAAGAATTCAGTAAAAAGTGGCATAGTTTAAGATAAATCTATAAACAGCAGTAATCTTTTTAACTATCAAATAACCTAAAAATATAGTAGCACAAAGGTCTACTTTAAAAAAAATTAAATACCTAAGAATAACTTTAATTGTAATGTGAGGATAGATTGTGCTATTCTATGTAAAGACAAAGTGTTATAGTTATTAGCTTTTAAATTTGGATAATTGAACCCAGTACTAATAAAGTATGGGAGGGCAGATTTTGACAAAACAGTTCTGAAATTCTTACAGAGAAATTAGAATAAGGTGCTTTCAGAAAAAAGTATTTCTACACTTGATCTTAGCTAAAAGGCTGAGAAGCGATAAAAAAGTACTTCTAATAGTAAGGTGTATTGTAAAAGTGCAATAGTTCTAATAGTATGGTGTTAGTATTAGGTTATGGTAATAATCAATAAATGATTTAATTAGATCCATAAATGTATACCCAAGGTGCAGACATTTACTGAGAAAGTCTTTACTGTAATGTGAAACTATAAATCAGAAAGAGAAAGATTTGTACCTAGAGCAAAACAATTATTTAATAAGAAGAATATTTATACTTTTACACTATTTCCTAATTTCAAATATATATCCAATAACTTTTTGTTGTTGTGTGGTACTGGAGATTGAACCCAGGGCCTTCTGACTTATTTTCATCCCCGGCCCTTTAAGTAATATATTTTATTTTGGCTTTGGTGGCCAGAATTTATTATGGGATTCAGAGTTCATGTTACTGTAAAATTTACCAAAATTATTACTTGTCATTTTTTTAACCCCTTCATAGATATTCGAATACCACTAATGTGGAAAGACTCTGATCACTTCAGCAATAAAGAGCGTATGTATGATTTTAACTTTTAATTGAAATGTTTTCTTTGGTTAATAATAGATTTGTGATTATTGAGGTAAAGACTTCTTCCACACTGAAATAAATTGATGTCATTTGACAGAATAAGTAGAATCTTGTTGAGCTATTTTCTGATTTTCAGTATAAATATGTTACAATCCTGTGATACTAAGTAAGACAGTCCTTCTCAATTGTAATTGTAAGTTGATAGAACTGGTACGAGTACAGTAAGTAGTGGCCTCAGGGTGGGGAGATGGAAGAAAAATAGGGAAAAATGAAAATGTTTAAGGAATAAAGATAAAAGCAACATTTCTGTTTGACCAGAATTTTGAGATTCTGTATGCTTTGTCATTTTAGATTATTTAATAGGATGTAATAAGGATTTTAAGCTTGATTCAATTTTTTTTTCCTTCAACATTTTATGGCTTTATGTACTCTTCATAAATCTGTGTATTGCTTAGGTCATGGAAATTAATCTCAGATGATTTTTAGCTGTTAGAGGCAAAAGATATGGTAATCCTTTATCTCTTTATTGTGATAGCTTTGTTCTTCATACATTAAAAACTGAATCATATTGAGCATAATTAGTTTTATATGAACAATTTAAAATCAGGTTAGTGTTTGTTATTCAATTAGGAAATATAATTTACAAAGGAATGCATGTGGGAATTAAATAAATCTTTCTGATTTCTATAGAGAATGTTTTTCTAAAGAGCTACATTTTCTCAGTAATGAAGATTTAACTTTTTTATGACTTAATACTTTTTAAAACATCACCAAATTAAAAGTTCCAGCAGCAGCTGTGTTTTTTCCATGACTACTTTCATTCATTCATTCATTCTTTCTATCTACGTACCTTCCTATCTTTGTGGTTTCCTCCTTTGCTTTTAGTTTGGTAGGAAATCTTTTGCTGTTATTAATGTGGCTACTCTTAACTCTTCTAATAACATATTCTTAAATAGAATTGGATACCAAAGTAACAGAAATAATAGTATATGTATATAATAATAAATTTACTGTTAATTGAGATTTAAGTAGTTTTCTAATAATAAAATTTATGACTTTAGTAGTTTCTTTAAACAGAGTCTTATATTTTTAACCTAATTTTTTGGTACTCCTGGTCTAAGGTTGTGTTCTAGTTGAATAAACTATTACTATATCCTGACAAAATGGCCACTATAGCACACACCTGTAATCTCAGCACTTTGGAGGCTGAGTCAGGAGAAATGCTGCAAATCTGGGGTCAGCCTCGGCTACATAGTGAGTTCAAAACTGGCCTGAATTACATAGTGAGACCCTGTCTCAAAAAGAAAAACAAAAAATAACAGACATTATAAAATGCTAAAGGCTACAATGTATAAAAATAAGAATTTCTTAACTATTTAAGGTAAAATTTTTCATTTTAAAGGTTAAGACAATTGGATTTATCATATGTATTATTTAAAGTGTTGCCATTTCTCTCTAGGATCAGAGCGCTATGCCATTTTTTGTTTATTCAAAATGGGAGCTGAAGTTTTTGATACTGACATGGTGATTGTGGATAAAACAATTACAGATATATGTTTTGAAAATGTAACGATATTGTAAGTATCTTTCATCTTAAGAGAATGAAAATAAAGTTCTACTTAAAAAAAAAGAAAGTCTAGTTATTGGGCCTTTGGATTCTTATAGCCTAATTATTTGTTCCTTGGATTCTTTTGAAGTATTAAGATCTTTAAATGTTCAAAATGATTTTGAAAACTACTTTGTTAAAAAAAAACCTTGTTCTTTATTTGCAGTTTTCTGATGTAAAATAAAAATGGAAATTTTCTAATTAGCAAGTATTTGACTCATTGGATAAAAATAATTTTTAAAACTTTTATAAAGATATTTTCATTATTAAAGTGTGAATATAATAGTTTTAATTTATTTTATATTGAGTGAATTTGGTTAGAAAATAGGTCTTCTAGCTGGGCATGGTAGTGCACACCTGTGATCGCAGCACTTGGGAGGCTAAGGCAGGAGGATTGCTGGGAGTTCAAGGACAGCCTGAACACAACATAGTGAGATCCTGTCTCAGAAAAACCAAAGAAAATTGGTCTCTATCTCATATAAGAGATTTAATTACAGAACTGCTAAAATAATAAAATAGCTTTGTTTGTAGGAAAAACACTGGTAAAACTTGGAGGGCGTGTTTTTTTCTCTTATGCTGCATTTCTTGTATGTACTCCAAAACAGTAAAAAAAATCAGTAATCGTCAGGGCTGTGTTTATTGCCCCTGCTCTTTTACAGGCTCATTTTATGTGGTCATAATACAAAACCAGAACTCCTCAGGTAGCCATAGAAATCATTTTTAACTAACATAAGTTCTTCCTGGCTTCTTTCAGAGATTCATTGGCCTAAATCACTGTGGGGTTTGTGTTTCTTTCAGGCTTTCAAAGATACCGTGTTCATATCTAAATGTTAATAGCTACTGAACTATTAAGATAAAACCAATATTACATGTGTTTTTCTATTTTCAGTTATGGAGCTGCATTTGAGATTTCAGAGGACTAGTTTTGCCATTCACAGAGCATTAAAAAGATTATAGCAAAACATATTTTGTGGTTTCTGGTCCAGTGTCCCTTAGTAATTGTATAGTGCAGAAAAGCAAGATGTATTGTTTGGGGTTATTACCAGTAATACAGCATTCTTACAAGCTGTATTGAACTAGAGAAATTTGTTTAGGGACCAAACAAAACAAAACAAAACAAAAATTTCAAATTGTTATATAATTGAGTTTAAAATTTTTTCCTAAGTTATCTAAATATTATTATCAACTATTACCAATGAATTTTTTTCCTGCCAAAATTATTGTATCAGTGGGCTTTTTTTTTCATATCACTTTGCCATTTTTTTTTGTCAGAGAAAGAACAATACAAAGTACTTGGGAAGAGAGCATGTTATTTATAATTTTTTAAAAATTCTGTAGATATTTTAAATTGTTCTAAAAATAACTGCTGACAAATGTTCTAAATGTTTAGAAATGTGTTTTTTGTTATGATTGTTTTTAATAACTATTCAATATTTATGAATCTGTGGTTTCCCTCTAAATATTGACATTTGTTTGTCATTACCAGGAATATTGTATGGTTAGAAGCTGCCAAATAAACTATAAAAATATCTGGAAGTTATTCCTTGGATTTACCAAACCTACAGATTGGCTCTTTAAATCCTAAAAGGTCTATGTTGCGTTTTAATATCTCTGATGCTGACGGCATGTTCTGTCTGTAGGCAACATCTGTCTGTAGGCCGAAGGACCCCTTTTGCAGTCTTGCATTTTTTTTGTTGTTGTTGGTAACACTGCTACAATCTTTTATGCTAGTTTATCATTATTGAAAAGGGATAAAGCTAATCTCAGCATTTCCTACAGTTGCCACATTTCTTCATATTGCTTTAATAAATATGCATCAAGTACCTTTTAGTTCCAGGTACAATGCTAAGCTAAAAATGCAAAGATTACCATGATAGAACATGCCCTCCAGGAGTTCATGCTTTGAACTATATATTGGTTTCATAGGGTTTTTTTTTCCCTATATAACCAAATAGTAAAAATATTGTTTATAATTATTAGGTAAAAAAGTGTGATGTGAAGAGGGCACATGGTGGTGAACTGACTAGTAACTCTAAGAAAAAGAAATGTATACTGAGAGTTCAGAATTTGTTTTGGAGTAGTCATGTTAGGAAAAGGACACTTAAAGGAAAAACGGCACTGACAAAAAAAAAAAAATGACCAAAGTATTTTATTGTTTCTTTAAATCAAATGCCTGCATACATCGATTTAGTTAAGGTTGCCCTTTGTTAAGAAGCTGATAGCTCTGCAAGTTGTAGTGACTTTCTTATGCCATTGCGATACTAAATAAACACAGTTTCTATGTCATATTTTAAATGGTGATTTTGAATGTTATAAAAGCATCAAAATATTTTGTAATTTTATTTTCTGTTGAGTTAAATCTTTAACCTTACAAATACCCTTGTATTTAGTAATGAAGCAGGACCAGACTTTAAAATAAAGGTGGAAGTATATAGTTGCTGTACAGAAGGATCTTCCATAACCAACACACCAAAAAAGCTAGCTAAGAAACTAAAGACATCTATAAGTAAAGCTACTGGAAAGAAAATTAACTCAGTGCTTCAAGAAGAGAATCCTGAAACATGCTTGTTCTTCAATTCTACTGTTTTGTAAGTTTTCTAATATAATATTTATGGTAACACAGTTATACTTGGTGATATTTCACAATATTTTGTGTGTGGAGTACATATTTACATTTTAAGTGGAAAAACATCTTAGAGCAGAAATGGTTGTCTGACATTTACTCAGCTGGAGTATCCTTAATAACTTCCTTTGAAGGTAGGAAGTCAGGTGAGAGTGTTTTTAGTAGTTTGGAATTCCCAATATCTGTCATACAGATGAAGTGTTTTTCTTTGAAATGTGTATGTAAGATTATTTGTTACATATCAGTTTACTAATTGGATTTCTATTCATATACCATGCTATATTTCATAATTTGAATTTTTTATCACAGATAAACCAATATTATCATTATCACACTTAATACAAAATAAGTTTTTAATGTAATCTAATATCTATCCTATATTCAAATTGCACCAATCCTGAAAGTCTTCTTTTGATTTGCTTGTTCAAATTAGAATCAAAGGTCTATAGTGTTACATTTAAGTAAGTTGTCAAAGTCTCTATGATTATATCTTTGTAGTATATCTATATATAAATAAATCTATATCTATATCTACATATCTACAGATATAGATATATATATTGGCATTTTTCTGGTCCCTCTATTTCCTATCAAATCCAAAGGATAATTAGATTGAGACTGTTTTAAGGCAATAATACTCATTATTAGATGCATTCTTATTCTCTCCCATTAGGAGGCATTGTCCTATTTTTAGGTTCAAGTGTTGCCATCCTGATCCATCCAGCATGAAGTTTCCTATCTTTTAATGCTTTCAGCAGCCATTGCTGCTCATTTTTTTTATTTCATTAGAGATTATAATTTGATGGCTTCCTAAATCTGTGCTGCATTTTGGTTCTTCACAAACTGACTAGATACAACTACAGTGCAATTGGTGAAAGCAATGGAGGAAAAACAATACTTGAATCTTTTTGTCTAATACTGGGAGTTGAATGTAGGATCTTTGCACTAAGATGCAAAGATACATTTTTCCTTCCCCACCCCATTTTAAAAGCAAGGTCTGAGTTCTTAAATTGCCTAGGCTGGGCTCTAACTTTCAGTCCTCATGCCTCAGCCTCCCAAAATGCTGGGATTACAGATGTATACCATCTTTCTCTCTCTCTCTCTCTCCTTCCCTCCCTCCCTCCTTCCTTCCTTCCATTTTTTTTTTTTTTTGTGGTATGGGGGATGAACTCGGGACCTTGTGCTTGCAAGGCAGACAGCGGAACCACTGAGCTAAATCCCTGGCCCTAATTCTTGTAATTACCACATTTTTTAATAAGTTGATGCCCTAGCAACTATGGAGGTGAACAGTGTTGTTTTATTTGAACTCTTAACTTTTCATATATTGCTGTTTCATTCTGCTATAGTTATTCTCTTTGATGCCTAAATTGTCCCATTTCTGATCAGGAAAACTTTCAAGATGATTACTGCATTCTTTTGGTACTACTTAATCTTTGATCATTTCTTTGCTGTCTGACGCAATAGGATATCTTCTGTTAATCTTGTATTTTTCTGCCCAGACTTGTTGGAACCACCATTTTTCCAGGAGCCCTTTATTTCCGATACCTTCTTTAAACCTTATGGTTGCTTCTTCACAATTTTATATTTGGAAACCACTTATCAGGATGCATTCCTAGAATTTCTTTTTTTGGTTTTGGGGATCAAATTCAGGTCCTTGCACTTGCAAGTCAGGCAGCAGAACCACTGAGCTAAGTCCCGGCCCTATAGAATTTGGTTTTTTAAGACAGTGAGACTGTCTTAAAGATAGTGAGACTGACCTGGAACTCACTATGTAGCCCCGGCTGGTCTCAAACTCACAGTGATCCTCCTACCTCAGCCTCCCAAGTGCTGGGATTACAGGCACGTGCCACCCCACCCAGCTTTACCAAATTTCTTTACATAACTAGTAGAGTTGGCTCTTTAGTAGATCAGTAATTTTATTTATAATATAAAAAAATGAAGTATTTTAGTTGTAAATGAATAAATAATTAAATGACTTCATGTCAGATGTATTAAATGTAAAATGTAAATTGGCATTCTAGCATAGTGGCTTTTCTTCTGATTTGAATGAGACTCATACTAAGAAATATATGTTAAAACATTACTGAATGCACAGCTACCTAAGGTAGATCACATTCTTAATCCTTACTATTATAGTTATTAGACTTTTTAAATTATAATTTTCAGTTTTTAAAAAATGATATTTTTGAATCATTAAATTGATTTTGTGATCCGTGAATGGGTTTCAGTCCACAGTCTGAAAGTCAGTCATAGAAGATATGTCTTTCCAAAACAAATGTCATTTAAGAGGTGATAGAAAACCTTTCATTTTCTTCTTTGAGATCTAAGACTATCTCAAAAACCATTTTACATTAAGAATCTACCAAGGCTTTGCAGGAATGTACTTTAATTCAATTACAAAATAGACTATTTCTTTTTGATGATTAGATAATTTTTTTCAGGTTGAGACATAGGTTTTAGAACTAAGAGACACCTTAGAAATAATTTCCTAGTTGAACAGTTTCAAAAATTTTTAAAGAGCAGACTTGCTTTAAGAAGTAGCAGGACCATTATACATCTTATCCAACAACAGTGTAACTTGGACACAGAATCCTAGGCCTCAGTTTTTCTCAAGTGCAAGATAAAGATGTTTGGATATAACCATTTCTTTGTAGAAATTTCCTTAGAGAAGTTTCTAGAGTTTCATTTCCACTAATACATGTAAAGGCAATGAATGGAGTTGTAAAAACAGTTTAAAACTTTGTTGTCTGGCAGAGAATACTTAATTTTTTATTCCATCATTAATTATTGGTCTTCCCCCCACCCCTCCCCAGTATGGGAGTTGAACTCAGGACCTTGTACTTGCCAGGCAGGCACAGCACCACTGAGCTAAATCCCCAGTCTTCCATCATCTATTACCTGTGTGACCCAGGCAGATTAATTTACTTTCTGGGACCTTTTTTTTACTTATAAATTGAAAATAATGATGGTGATACAACAATATCTAACTCCATAGGATCTTTATGATGTTCAATAAGATAATTTATGGAGTTGGTTGGTATAAAGTAAGCATTTAATAAATGTAGTTCATACCTTTATTATTACTATTTCTACTGTTACCAGACCTGTGCTCTTTCTAAGTTATTTCTTAGAACTATGTTGAAGTGTTGCAATTTACACAGTTGGTACAGGGTTATAAAACGTTGACTTTTTTTCATTTAATTTTATACTTATAATTTCATGTAGAAGATAATCTAAATTATGTAATAACCTGTATTATTGAGGCCTAGATGTCTTTTTTTTAACTCAGTCTCCCTCTCTGTTTTTTTGGGGGGTACCAGGGATTGAACTCAGGACCTTGTGCTTGCAAGGCAGGCGGTGGAACCACTAAGCTGTCCCTAGCCCTTGATGTATTTTTTGAGAATAATATTATTGTGTATGAAATTCTTTTTAGTAGGGATGGCTTTTGTTTTTTTAGGTTTCATTCCCCTATTTGGATTCATCATTCTTCTTGATAAATCCCCACATACAAATGCCAGTTTTCTTTATAGACATTTCCTATGAGACTTGCATGACATTGGCTTATTTTATATCATTAAAGTTGTACAAAAGATATGGTGAAACTTTTGATACGATTTCACCAACTTATGTCTTCCCAATATCAGCTTTCTGTTGTTCTTCCTGATACTTTCTTAACTATCCACTTTAGCACCAGGATAGGAGTTTGAAAATTATATTAGTAATCGGAATGCATAAGCAATTAATTTTATTTCTTTCATGGTGATCTAATTAAATATTTAAGACTTCTGCTACAGATTTTAGTCTTTAACCAAAATGGGCATTTTAGCCTTTAACCAAATCAGTATTTATCTTTCCTAGTAATGCGACTATGACATGGTACCAAATATAGCTGTTTTTCAGGCTACTATTTAAGTAGTTATTTATTTTTTATACTGCACCGCAAAATGTGTAAACAATTGTGCTATTCGGTAGAAAAAATGTAGCTTGATTGAACTTTTGGGAACTCAACATTAGGGTTGGCTGAGAGGAATGAGTGTAATGTTTTAGAAAAAAAATGTTATCCTGATAAAAATGTTTTAGAAGTGAAGTCATTGTTGATTTTGGTAGCAATGATACTGTGATAAGTAATGGTTTAAAAAATGAAGTAACTTGAAATATAAAGTATTGTTGGATCTGAAGGAAAACAGTGAACATTTTTGGTCATTTTTAGTATGCTTTCTGATGTGATAATTTATTCATTTTATTTGTAGACTTTAGCTTATTGAAATTCCTTTAATGAAATTTTCCCAGAGCCTCTAATAGCTGATTTAACCATTTTATGCTCCTTGATAGCTGTTTGGTACAGTAGTCTTAATTGTGTGAACATATATCTTTTTAAAATAATTTTGTGAAAACTGGTTAAAATTGAGTGTGATTTTTGAAACTCGACAAAATGACTTATTAAATTTTTAAAAACAAGCCACATAGTACATTTTGAATTCAATGGAAGTTATGAAACAAGTGTCCTAACATTTATCTTGAATAAATGAATTATTTATGTTGTTAACTAAGGAATTACTCAACTTCTGCATATAATTAATTTGTTCTTTTGATTATTTTAATTATCTTTGAAATGATTTTTCAGCAGTGAGGTCATGTAGTACATTGAATTCATGGTCAAGTCATGGTTGTTACACTTAGAATTCTTACAGTATTTTAAAAACATTGTCACTATATATTTGTTTTAGTTGAAAAGGTACCTTAACTTACAACTTTTTAAAATAATGCTTAAAGATGTATAGCATAGTAGGACCCTGTTGTTAGCTGCAGGCAAGTCAGTTACATTCTCTCAACTTTACGTTCTTCGTCTGGAAATATGCCCTGCCTACCTGAAGGAGTTGTTTTGAACCTAAAAAAAAAAAATATTGCTTGTCAAAGTGCATTAAACTGCCTATATTTAGTTGTAACATCAATACTTTGGCATATAATTGATTCTTAGGTGAAGTTTTCATCCTACTCACACTTAATTTTATTATTTCATTAGAAAAATGATATAAATTTAAGATATAGAGTCTAACATAGAAAAGTAGTTATTCATAGTTCAAGCACTCTTCACCAAATGCTTTTATAATTTTGAGCTAATATTTTCTGTCCAAGTTTTTAAATACCTAACTCTAGGTGATATTTATATATTCCTAATTATACTGTTCACTCAGCTTTTCTCAGAAGGTTTTACAGAAACTTTAAATGGCCATATCATCCATTAGTTATAGCCTAATTTAACCATTCATAGACAAAGTCATCAATAACTTTTTCATATTGTTATTTTCAGATGTCTCATGCATGAGAAATGGTTAATGTGTTACGTATTTAAGGTAGTTGTGTTAGTAAAAATCATGTTAAGACAGAATAATTTAGACAAGTCATTTGGTCATTACATAATTTTAGCTTACTCTGATGCTACCTCTCCATTCACAGTGCATATGCAGAGTTAATAGCATAGCTTTTTCTTGTGTACATTAATAGCAATATTTTATTTTCCATACATATTGAAATGACTCTTTTTAAAATGAAGACTGTTTAAATGTTTTTGGTCATCAGGGAGAACAATTTACAGTGTCACTCCTAAAAAGAAACAAAACTAAAGTTTCTTTTTTTTGTGCTCTTTTTCTCTTCCACCATTTCAAATATTTTTCTTGCTAGACTTGGCATACATGTAGACAACATATCTAATACCATGACTTCTTCATTTCATGACCTTCTTACCTCCCCTGATGTTAACCTTTCATCCATCTTTTGGTTATATATGAAGGAACATATTGTAATTTATTTTTTGAGGAACCACCATACTGTCCATCATAGCAGCTAAACTCTTTTACATTCCTACTAGTATTATACAGAGGCTCCAATTTCTCCACATTCCTGTTTTCTGTTTTTTGTTGTTGTTTACTTGTTTCGGGGTTTTAGGTTTTTTCTTTTTACTATTAGCCATCAAGATGGTGTGAGGTGATGTCTCATTGTGCTTTGATTTGCATTTCAAATGTTGAGTATGTTTTTATTGGCCTTTTTATGTTTTTGGAGAGATGTCTATTCAAGACCTTTGCCCATTTTTTAACCAGGTTGCTTATTATTTTGTTGTTGAATATCTAAATATTTTATGTAATAGAGAGCATACAAAAATACTTAGCATATGTCTTCTTTCTCACTATTAGTGGTGCAAAGTACCATTTGCTAGCTCACACTACCCTAACCTTGGAAAGTGCTGAGGATAGCTTCAAGACTCATAATCTGTTTATTAATGGAAATGGTAAGTATACTATGTATCTTACTATTATATACATTATATCAGTATACATGTTATGGTAACAGTAACTTTCTAATTTTTTATGTTCCTTTGAAGTAGACATTTGCTGAAGTAATTATAGACATGAATGATTCCCTGGGTTCCTTCAAATATATTTATTCTTTTTCCCTAAAGAAAGTATTTTTGTTTGTGCTGAGATTTGTTTATAAGGCTGATTTATTGAGATAGAAAGGTTTTGGGTATTTGGAGACCTTATCTCTGACTTGAAATTAACTTCACCACTCCTCTAACTGGAAACAAGACTGGTCTCATTTTAAAATATGAAATCAATGAAGAAAGTCCTTCTGTTGGCAGGAGGCAGAGGATATAAAGGAAGGTAGGACTAAATTTATCTTAACTCTTTTTCTCTCTGAATAATTGTGAATGCAGTTTTCCCAAAAGAATGTATAACATAGTGGGAAAAGAGGTTGGGTGCTTAAGCCTTCTAAAACGTGATATGATGACTTTGCCAGATTAGTTTATCTATAATGAAAAATATCAAATAATACAGATAAAGCAGTTTGGAAATGTGATTTAAATTATGTATTCTTATTCATTTTTTAAAGAAATGTATAGCATGTATCATTTTATACTTGTTGTAAATATTGATTGCTCTGTACTAGTGGGTTTAGTGATTTTACAGTAATATTTTTTAAGTTCATAATCACATTAAAAATAAAGAAAAATTTATGAAATGTAAATGTGTAGCTTAACAAATAATTATGCAATGAATATCTGCATAACTACCTCCCTGTCAAGAAATGGAACATTGCCAATGCCATTTTCCTTTAATTATTTGCAAGCTTTTATGATATTTGCTTTTATTTATGCTTTTTGCCACCTGTGTGTTCTTCCCTAAATAATATAATTTAGTTTTTCTTGGTTTGAACTTTATATAGATGGAATCATATCATATTATAACTTCCTAGTGATTTCATTTTTGTTCATCATTATATATATATATTGCTTATGGTATTTCATTGTATGATTATATCACTATTTCTCTTATACTGATTTAGTTATTTTTGGTAATTACAGGGTTCTTCATCTTTCCTATTTCTTGGGTCAGTTTCAGTAGGTTATATTTTCATAGATATATTTCCATTTGATCTAAGTTTGAAGTCTATAAGCCTAAAGTCCTCCTTTATATCTTTATATCTATTGAATTTCTACAGTATTTGTAGCACTGTCTCTCCTTTCTTGTTACTGGCTTTTTGTAACTCTGTTTCTTTTCTTTGAATTTTCATTCTTTTATTATTATCCATTAAGTTTATTGGTACATTTTAGGTATATATTTTTATCACATTCATCATTGGGAATTTGTACCTGTACATGATATGTCTTGATTTTTGTTTTTTCCCCTTATTCTCATTCTTTTAACAGCTCTTTCAATTTTATTATTTACTAATGTGACGTATGGATGCTAATTATTTGTTAGGGATAATGACTATAATGTTTGTATTCTGCATTATTGCAAGAGGTGTGATAAAATCCGTTAGGGTTGTGAACTTTTCTACTGTTGTAACATCTATTTTCACTTCATATAATTTGAGCCTTTGTTATTTGATATGCATTTTTTGCATTGTAATGTAGTGAAGTGTAAAATGTATTTATATATTTGAGATTCCTTGAGCTTTTTAAAATTGTTAACTGATGTGTTTTGTCAATTTGGACAAAAATCTTATTCATCTATTCAGAGAGCCTCTGCTTCATTCTCTTTTCTCTTTCTCTACCCTTTATGCCTTTTAAACCTATGTTTGTTTTTCCTTGTTGTAGCCCCTATGGTCCCAACCTTTTATGAGCTATTTTCCATCTTTCTGTCTCTTTGGTGCTCCTCTGGATATTTTTGACTTGTTTTTTTTCCATTTCCCTAATTTTTTCTGCAGCTGTGTCTGATCTACTACTAAATCTGCCCACCAGAGTAAGTGTGGTTATTTTATTGTCAGTGTCTAATAATTTAGTCATCTATTGTGTTTCTAGTTTTTTGTTTTTTTTTAACTAGTTTGAACTCATGAGGTCTTGATTCCTTCTTACATATCTGATTACTTTGTATGCTTATCAATGTTATTGAAATTTTACAACTAGAACTAAATTGATGTTTCTGGAGTGCACCTGGAGGGACTGTAGGCAGCTCTGAACCCTCAAGCAGCAGGAATCTGAGCACAGGGTTGGTTTACTTCTAGTTCACCACTAGCTTGGTGGTTATTCCTTTGGGATAGTAGTTTATTATAAGAAGAATCTCCAGTTAAACTACTTACATTGCACAGACCCTGGGATTTAATTTTTTTGCTGCTGATCCTGCGGGCTCATTAAATCCTAAAATCAGATTCTCTGTGATTGGTAAATATACTCAGAACAAATATAGTTTCTGTGCTCACTTTACTTTCTGGCTCCCTTCTGTCTTCCAGTTTGTCCTGGTAATTTTTTATAGCCTGGTTACCTCTTTGTTCCTTTTGGGAAAAAAAATTTACAATTTATAGTATTTAGCAGTTTTAGTAGCTCTCAGTGGGAGAAGTGGTCTAATTAATGTGGTCTTCCATCATGCAGAATCTGAAATCTGTAAGAGAATATGCAGATTCCAAGAAGGAATGTTAAACACCAGACTACTTACTTTTATATAATAGTTATATTTCTGGAAGTGTGTGTAAATTAAAATTTTGTAAATTGATTATATTTTGAAAAAAGAAAACGGTATTACAGTGAAACAAGATTTTATAGAAAAAGTCATCTTCTAATTTATTCATTAAGTGTAAGGCTATATGTTATTGCAGTGGATTTTCCTAATGTTATGTACAAATACTGTCAAATACCAGTACTATAAAATTAAATGAAGATACAAGACTTTTTGACAATTATAACTCATTTTTCTTAGTCTTGCTCATTGAATGACATAGCCCAAATGGTATCTTAAGGTTTGTATTTGTCAAGAAATTTTTATGCACTTTATCAAATAATAGAACTACATCATGAAGATTGACTTACATATTACTGAGATGTTTGGTTTCTCCAACCTGTGGTTTTTGTCATCATACTTTTTACCCTTTTTCTTTAGTTCCTCATTTGGAACTATGAATGAGTGAAATAAATTCTTTAAGTAATGAAAAGTCAAACTGCTCTTTCATTTCTTGTTTCAGTTCATCTTGTTCTTCTAGCTCCATTGGTTAGAAAAAAGGGAATTAAGTATTTCATTAATATGTTGCACAAGGACTGAGAGACAAGACTGAAAAATGGAAAGGGTGTGATTTGGGGAGTGAGACAACCCTGAATATGAAATTAAGAGAAACATCTATTATGTGCCAGGCACATAGTGAATATCATGTACACATTATCTTTTTTGATCATCTTAACCCTCTCTTAATGTAGATATTTTTTAAATGAGAAATTGATATTCATATATGTGAGGTGACTAGCCAAGATGCCATATTTGTTATTAGACATATAGAGAAGCTATTATTTTATTCCATAGTGATCCCAACCTATAAATAAACCTGTGTTAGAAGTAATATGATTGCAGGGGTATGGACCAAAGAATTCTGCATCTAGTATAGGACTGCAATTAGAAAGGATTTATTTTCCTTTGCTTGCCATGAAATCTGAACTTATTTTATCAGAGAAATACATTGTCATATGTGGTATTTAGGGTCTAGGTATGTTATTGTTTTTAACAAACATTATGGACTGTTTGGGGACCTAATAATTTCTGATTTTGTTTCTTTAGGAAGTGTTTTCTAATTTAAAAACAACTAACTTACAAATATTTAGAACATAAACCATTTGTAAATCTGAGATTTCCTATATAAATTTCTGATATATTACCCAGGTGCATGCCCCTGTAAAATTTTTATTTCATTTCTTGACTATTTTAGAAGTACCTCTGTTTTAGTTTGCATTTCAAATCATTGCATGTAGTTATGCACTTCTTTCTCTCAGTTCAACCCTTTATTTCTAAAAAGTAGTAGTTTTGACTAAGTATTAATAAAAATTTGAATAATCCTAGGAAATTTGTTGTATATTCTTCTATAGTAGAATTCAGGTAAGTTGTAAAAAACTGAGGTTATTTTACTTTATATTCCTCATGAAGTTGTTCTTTTTCCTTTAACTGATACATTTCATCTTTACTGTCTATGTTTCTACGTATTAAGTGACTTTTTATCAAAAACATGTTTTCCAGAGTTACTAAGTCTTTGAGGCAAATTCTAATTATAGCCATTATGGATACTGCCAATGGAGGTGTAGTAGAAACTTTAAAATAATCTTTTGTGTATGGACCAGTGTGAACTGAAGGCCATATATTGGATTTTATTTGTAATCTGATATATAGGACAAATTATTCTATACTTTCAAGTTTGTGTGTTTTTTGTTTTGTTTTTGGTACTGGGGATCGAACTCGGGTCCTTGCACTTGCGAAGCACTTCTGGAACCACTTAGCTAAATCCCCAGCCCCTATTCTATACTTTCTTTCCATATAAATATGAAAGACATAAATCCACTTTGACACTAGATTGAGAGACTATCATAATGATTTTTTTTAAATGTATAAGTTAAATGTCAAAATCTTTTTTCCCCAAAAAAGACATAGTAGAAAATTGCTTACTTGATGCTTGACAGCCCCTAATATGTTAATACATATTAACCACTAGCAAGTCTTTCAGCTACATCACAACTACCTGAACTCAAGAAACTAATATTAATAGATTACTATATCTAATTCTTAGACCCTACTCAAGTATTACCCATTTTTCCAATAATATGGTGAAATGATCCTCCAGTGCAGAATCATACATTGCATTTAATTATCATATGGCTTTAGTTCCCTACAGTCTAGACCAGTATCGGTCTTTCTTTGACTTTCATGACCTTGACATTTTAATGACATTTTTAATAGTTATTTCATAAAAGATCTCTCCATTTAGATTTGTCTCATGTTCCTTGGGATAAGATTCAGATTATGTATCTTTGGCAGTGATGCTGTTTCCTCATTCCATCCTATCAAGTGGCAAATAATTTTGACTCATCCCATTACATACTAATGATTTGTTAATTTTGATTCCTTGGCTAAGAGGCTGTGTACCAAGCTTCTCTACTGTAAAATTACTCTTTGTTTTCCACTTTGTGGTTAATACATATTTTGTGGTGGAGACGGGGTACTTTGAAACTATGTAAGTATACATTTCTTATTATACTTCCAAATTATGCATTCATATTTTTTCCATTTTTATTCAGTGCATCATCATCTGTTAATATCATTGATTATTTTGAGGTTCAAATTATCCCAAATGCACACCCATTCCAGATGATTTCTGTGTCTTTTTTTATATTATTCTTTGATCACTTTCTTGCTCTATGTCATACCAAAGAATTTCAGCTCATCATGTACTTTCCTTGCCCCATCCCAGAATCAACCATTTCTCCCAGGTCCCTCGTTGCCCTCCTCACCTGATTTAGGGTTCTGACACACTGCATTGTCATCCATTTGTGGGTGGTTTCCTAACTGCTCGCAGTCTCTGATTTGTGTGGCTGGGCTGGCCAACACTTGTGGCCCCTCTTCTTATTCTGCTTGGTTCTGACACCTCACTTCAAGCAGCCACTCTATATGGAGGCCCTCCTCGCTCTGCTGGGGCCCTGATTCCCTGCATCAGGCCGTTCCCCATTTTAGGCTGCCATTTCAGAGGGACACTTCTCAGTCTCCTTGTTCAAGGCAGAGTCCCACACCTTTGGCTGTGCCTTCGTGTCAGTGTCCTGTGAGCCCATTCAGGCTCTGACACATCTTGCTGGGAAACCCTCCTCGTCACCCTCCTTATCTTTCTTGGCTCCAGCATTAATTTCAGGCACATCACAGTGCTTTCCTGAACCCTACACAGATGCTCATCCTGTGGGCTGTCGCTAGTATACTTAGTATTGGAAGGGGAAGAGCAAGGGCCAAAAAGGGTTATTAATTTATCTTAAGTTGTTGGCTGAAATAATATTTTATTTAGAAGACCACTTTGCTAATTTTGATAATGAAAATCAGAGCAAAAGATAGAAGAATTTGACAAACATAAATCACTTTATTAGAGATTACTTATATTCCTTGAGGAATCTCCATTGAGTAATTATGTTTAAGATCAAGTTAAATGAAGATTAAAACATGCATGGCTATTTCAGCTAATAAGTCTATCAGTTTAATATCATGTGCTGTCTAGTTTCTCATATTTGATTTTGGTTATTAAATATGGTACTGGTATTTGAATAGATAAACCTTTATGCAAAAATATAAAAATACGATCTTGTATAAAGTACAAACTTGTGAAAAGAAAATTATAAAATGAATAATGACCTTAAATAAACATATATTTGTAACTTGATTATTTTCTTTCTCTTTTAAATAGAGGAGTCTTCATTTTGGCTTCCCTTGTATGGCAACATGTGCTGCCGATTAGTTGCTCAGCCAGCTTGTATGGCTGAGGATGCATTTGCAGGATTTCTTAATCAGCAGGTTAGCGGACTTTAAATATCCTACAGTTTTAGCTCCAGTTGAGATATTAATGTACAGGCAGTTGTTTGACCTTCAAATACCGAGAACCCTTTTTTAAATGTTAATTTTTAAAATGTTATTAGGAACTGTGGGGAATGCGGGGGTGAGAAGATGGCAAGGGGAAGGATCTGGTGCAGTTTTGATGGCTAGGGAGCTACCTCTGTGTGCTCCTGCTTTCTTATAGCAGAATAATCGGCAACAGAGGCCTCCTTGTGGAAAATGACGTGGCTGTGCAACACCTTTCACATAAAGGACCTTCTGGCAGACAGCTTTTGGCACAGTTTGGGCCTCTGGACTTCCAAAGCTGCCTCTGTGCAACCTACTCTTGATTTATTTATAACCTTAGTTATTTATAGTCAGTAAATAATTAATTGTGGGCTTCAATGAATCAATAGCTTTTCCTAAAAGATTCCATTAAGAGAGAAAATTTGCATTCTTAACAGGTAGTCAACATTTTCTAATGTTCTGAGAACAGTAAGGGAAAATTAAATTTTCAACACTGGGAGTTATTTTTATAATTTTCCTGTCATTTGATGAATTGTTGTGTAATTCTGAGCAGTAATTTTAAACAGGATAGCTTTTCTAAAAATTACATTGATTTATGATTTGTGTATAAGTAATATGGTAACCATTACCTTCATTTTGCTTAATGCTTTCTGAAAATTTCAAACTTTTCATCTCTGATATGAACTTACTCTTGGATTTTAAACAGATAGACTTATTCTGTAGCAAATTAGTGGGTAATTCTATCACATTTTAAAAGTTCTAAACTATAATTTAACTTTGATAACTTAAGTATTGCATTGAATTTGGAGTTGTGGTAATGATTTAAAATTGATAGCTTTTTCCTTCCCCCCCCCAGCAAATGATAGAAGGTTTAAGTATTTGGAGAAGACTGTACTGTGTTTTGAGAGGGGGCAAACTCTGTTGCTTTTATAGTCCAGAAGAAATTGAAGCTAAAATGGAACCAACCTTGATAGTGCCCATTCATAAGGTAAATGAAATGCTGTTTTGAAAGTACAGATAACAATGCTTTCTGATGTTTGTTCTTATCTATGTACTTTTAAAGTTGCCATTTTGTAAAGAAAAGGATTTCTTGTGTACTATTATAGTTTTTCACACCAGAGAAATTATTCGGTATTTCAGTTAAAGAAATCTCTATATGAACATTAAAAATAGGGAACCCTAAAATAAAACTAAAAAGGAAAGTAAAAGAGAAAAGGCAATGATGTAAAATTAAAATAATCCTTAATTCTGAAGATGAAAATGGTCCTTGAACATATTTAAGTTGCTTCATGCTCTTGTAGTCTTATATTATTCTTTTTTTCATTATTTAGAGAATACTTTATTAGTTTCTGTAATCAAACCCATGTAGATATGACCTTACATATTTAATACAGTGCATTACCCCTGTGGAAATGGGAAAAAATTTAACATTTCTAGACCAATATGGCTGTTAATTTCTGTACAATGCCAACTCATCATCCTAATAAGATAATTAATAATGTGAAATAGGAAGTAAAGGGCTAGAGGTGTAGGGAAAGAGGGAAGGGTGGGGGAAAGGTACTAAGGGAGAGGAAAAAAATATGAGAAAATGAAAAAATGGAAATAAAGTGTTTGTAATGGGGAAGGGAGGAGGGGGTGAAGGGAGGACAGGGACAAGGGGAAAAATGAGAACCAAGACCTGTCATGTAAAGGTACAGGATCCCAATAATGAATGTAATGGTATTGTATACCTATATTGTACCAATAAATTCAATTAAAAAAAAGAAACTTGATAAATTGAGATATGACTACTATGTAATTTGAGTCTAGCAGAATCTTTAAAGCTTTACATTTAGAGGGACTATACAAAAGCCTAAGTTAACTCTAGTATCTAGATTTAACCTGTTTAGCTCACATGGCACTCAGTAAATTCTGGTAAGGTGTGCATGGTTTTTGTAGTAATTCAGTTCGTCAATGACAATCTGATCTTCATGAATCGAATCTCCAAGCTATTGTGTAGGTACGAGGTAAGACAGAAAAATACTTGGATGAAGTAGAAAAATTCCTATGAAGCTTCTGTAAATGGGGAGGGGAAGAAGGGCTGAAGGGAAAAGAGAGGAATGAAAAAAAGAATTAAAATGTATTATGTACAAGTACAAATTCCCTATGATGAATGTGGGCACTATGTATGGTAAATATGTACTAATAAAAAAATCAGAAAAAGTTAAACAAAAAAAAAAAGAAAAGGATTTATAAAAACAGGTGAGGTCTTAAAAATAATTTGCTCTTTTCTTCTTTTTTTTTTTTTTTTTCTGCGTTACAGAGCTTATGTTTTAAAGGAAACACTGTATATTTCCTAAGAAGAGTCCATGGTAATGGAACTCCATACTAGTAAATAGGTTTTAAATCAGAGGATGTGACTCCACATTTGCAGTACATTTACCTCTTTAATGAATATATTTTACTAAGAATGATATGAATTTAAATGTTTAGCTCATGTTACACTGATGCTCCTTTTAATTAATATTCAAATGAACCCATGAAAAAACATTCCTGGGCCCAGGGATTAGCTCAGTTGTTCTGCCTCCTGCCTTGCAAGCACAAGGATCCAAGTGCAGTCCCCTGTACCAAAAAAACCAAACCAAAAACATTCCTGAGTATACCTCTTCATTTTTTTTTTATTGAGTTTATTAGTACATTCTAGGTATACAGTACAGTTACATTCATTGCTGGGATCTTGTACCTTTACATGACAG